CTAATAAATGTATTTCACGATCTGGGTCAATATTTAATACAAAACCACACATAATGTTTCTACTGTATCTCACTCTGATATTTAGTTAATATGAGTGAATTGACTGAGTGCTGTCTGTCACTGTCTTTAATCAGTTCTGTGAATGACTGTATGGTATGCCACATGCTCTGTAATATGTTTTATATTAAATATTAAATTTTCAAATGAAAATAGCAACATGATCGTTTTATAAAGTATGCGTTCATATGCGTTAAGGGCTAGATTTTCGCTGGAGGAAACAGCTGTGGTGTGATGAGGGGTGAACGCAGCGAAAACTACAGTAGATGGGAAACCGATTGCTCCCTCGTGACCTTTTGTAAACTGTACTTATGACAAAGAAAGAACTGCACAGATACATATATTATAACAATCTATCAATAAACACACACCTTGTGTCCTCTGTTTCTGTTTGAGTCCGCTCGTGCTGCGCCGCCGCGGTCTGTGGATTGAATAGCGCACTGAAAGACGGGGAGGAGACGAAGTACAAGAATTTGTGTACAGTTTATGGAGCTAATCACTATAGCCCAGCTAAAAATGGCCTAGCAATGCCCATGCTTCTTACGTCTATTTCGGAGAACCAGGACAAATATTTCAATCAATCGCTCAGGCATTTAAGTGGCACCGAAATGAGGCACCGAAATCTGCGTTCTGATTCAGTTCTAGTACATAGTGTAACCAATTTTACTGTTTGCATTTCTAGTACAACCCTCTTTCTTTAGCTCAAGTATGCAAACCTCTTTGCCACATGCACTGGAATATGTATTACATTGAAAGATACATTTTCAAATGAAAATGGCAACATGATTGTTTTATAAAAATGATGCATTCATATGAGCTTAGTTTTCACTGGAGGAAACAGCTGTGGCGTGATGAGGGGTGAACGCAGCGAAAACCTTACAGTAGATGTGGAACCGATTGCTCCCACGCAGTTCTTTGTCATAAATCCTTGTCATGTAAACTGGATTTATGACAAAGAACGGCACAGATGCAGATATTATAACAATCTATTATTGCGGATTGAATAAGAAGGCGCTAAAAGATGGGGAGGAGCCGATTGAAGTCTGCCGCCGTTTTCATATGAAATTTAAAGGGGACTGACTCTGAGGCGATCACAAATTTGTGTACAGTTTATTGAGCTAATCGCTATAGCACCGCTAAAAACTGCCTAGCGACGCCCATGCTTCTTCCTGCTTTTTCACTCGCCGACATGTTTTGCGAAATCGCCGACAAATGCCCGACATCGGAGGCAAATCGGTGCTCGTTCACGCGAGTGACAATCACAGGCTAGTTTTGAGTAGTAATTGGGCGGGTTTTGTAGCGAAAACCTGGCAACCCTGCACCAGACAGAGCTGTCGGCGATTCTTCCTATTGTAAAGTCATGCAGTGTGTAACCTCCTGTCGTCGTTCCATCGTGCAGTGTCAACACAGCAACAACTGAATGCTACCCCAGATAGTTGTTCAGTGTGAAACCAACAGTGATGCGACGTCTTTGAAAATCGTGCAGTGTGAACTCGGCTTAAGTGGCACCGAAATGAGGCAACGAAAACTGCGTTATGATTCGGTTCTAGTACATACCGGTTACATAGGTACCGGTGCCATATTGACACCGGGTTTCGGTACCCAACCCTACCCATAAGGGTGGCATTTGGGGGCAGAAGGGTTCTGAGGGGTGTTTCTCTGGCTGTTTGCAGATTTGGAACGTCTGTGTGGCAAGCTTGTTGGTGTGGCCAAGATGCAGTATAAGTAAGCGCTTATTCCAGAATAAGCACTTACTTATTTAAGCACTTACTTAAAAGGCATGTTTTGCAGTTCATAATTCTTTATGTGTGTCTGTAGGACACAAATTGTAATATTTTTTTTACTCTATGGGAGACATTGCACACACTGCAATATTGACTGTTGGCTGTTGACCATTAGTGCATCTCATATGAGTATGAAGTGTTCATTTGCAGTTTATTAGTAATGGCCTATTGACTTTTAGTTTTTATCAGTGACCTTTGTCCTCCTTGTTTGCACTTTGTCTAACAAACCACTTCTAGTTTTAAAATATGAAGCTCTCTGCTTACTCAGACATTTGTGACCCTGTCTGTGAAATCCAGGCTAAAGTCTCGAAATCTAATCAAAAATCAAAGTTTGATTTCAACCATTAATTTCACTATGATTTCAATCTTTGACATGGCCTTACTCAGTCAGTATTAAAGATATCAAGGTTACATTTTCACAGAATGTTCTTTACATTATGAAGGATGATTTTATGTAAAATAGTAAATCACAAAAAAAAGACTTTAGCTGGGTTTTCACAGGCAGAGTCACATTTTTAGAATGAAGTGTATAGGCCTATATTTACTAAATTGTGTTTTGATCAAATTCACATTCTCATTGGTGTTACATGATACAAAAAGATTGTTAGTTATTTGTAGATTATTTATACCTTATGCATTTTTTATTTAAATATCTTTATTAAGATGTGCTTACTTTCAGTTTATAAGATGGGTTGCTAAAATTACCTTGTGGTGTAAGGTTATACTGACATGTTTGTTTTCTTTCTCTCTGTAGGTAAAGCACTCTGTGACAGTGTGAATGGGGGAGATTATGGAGTACCATCCCCTGGTCCCGCCTTCAAGGAAGTCTGGCAAGTAAAAGTTTGGCCTAAAGGTCTGGGCCAAGCCAAGAACCTTGTTGGCATCTACCGGCTCTGCCTGACTGAAAAGACAGTCAACTTTGTCAAGCTGAACTCCGATGCAGCCGCTGTCGTGCTCCAGCTTATGAATGTGAGGCGTTGTGGTCATTCTGAAAACTTCTTCTTCGTGGAGGTAGGTCGCTCTGCAGTAACTGGCCCTGGAGAGTTCTGGATGCAAGTGGAAGATTCTGTGGTAGCACAGAATATGCATGAGACTCTGCTGGAAGCCATGAAGGCCCTGAGTGAGGAGTTTCGCCAACGTAGCAAGTCTCAGTCAGCTGCCGCTGGAGCAGGAGGTGGCACCACTGCATCAAATCCTATTAGTGTTCCCTCTCGACGACATCACCCCAATCCTCCACCCAGTCAGGTTGGATTCACAAGACGCCCACGGACCGAACCACCAGGGACTACTGGAGGCTGTAATAGCACTTCTCCAACCTCTCGCCACAGCTTTGCCCGAACACGAACGTCCAGTGATGGTGGAAAAGTTGATGATGGAGGTGGTGCAACAACTGGAGGGAGTGCATCATGCTCAAGTCCCACGACTAATGGGTCATGTTCCAATAACCCAATACTGAGATCAACATCTGTTCGTGCTCCAACCCAAGTCAAAGCACAGCATGAGCTAATGAGATCCACCTCAACCCCTGCTCCTTCAGCTGCACCAAGCCTGCCTTCTGGCTCAGTACATGGATCTGAGTTTTGTGCAGTAGGAACCGGGACAAGCAGCAGTGGTGTGGGTGGTAATGGTAACATGTACAGTCGAATACCTCTCCGACAGACCTCTGTCTCTGGTTCTCTTAGCGACTACGGTTCCTCAGATGAATACGGCTCCAGCCCTGGAGAGCACTCTATGCTAACCCCAACAATGCAGGCAGGGTCTGCCGGCAGCTCAGGTGGGCATTCTGTTGGGGATGAAGCATCCAACTACATCCTAATGAGTCAGAGAGGAGCATCCAAACCTCAGCCAGGCCAAAATGCATTGCCACAAACAAGGAGAGTTCTGAGGCGCTCCTCTAGCAGAGAATGTGAAGCGGAGCGCAAGATAATGAGCAAGCGGGCTTCTCTGCCACCCATGGCTTTGGAGAGACTTGCACCACACCGTCGAGCTGGGGAGGAAGCTGTTGAAGAGGACGACTATGCAATTATGACTCACACCACCAGCCGAGAATCCTTTGGATCAAGGCAGGATTCTGGAGCGTCAGCAAGCACAACAGGATACTTGGAGGTAGCTGTAGAGCTTAAAAGTGATGCTGGTGGTGGTGAAACGGGTGTCCCTGATGTCATCGGAGGAGCTAATGGAGCAGTGGATAATGGCTACATGTCCATGTTACCAGGAGTTACAGCTCCCCCAGTATCCCTTTCTCATTCCCTCTCAGTAACAGTTTCAGATCCAGACTCAAAGTCTGCTGATGACTACATGGCCATGACCCCCAATAATAGCATTTCACCCCCACGGCAGATCCGTCCACCACCTTCTGGCACAGATGGCTACATGATGATGTCTCCTAACAGTAGCTGTTCACCAGACCAACGAGGGGTCCCTACTGCCTGGGTCGGCAGCAGCAGTGCTGACAGCCGAACTGGCAGCGACTACATGAATATGTCACCTATCAGCGCCCGCTCTGCCAATAGTACCCCGCCACCAGCTGAGCCCCACACTCCATCTGACCAGCATTCTCAGCAGCCTCCACCTAAGATGGTATATTCTTACTTTTCTCTACCCCGCTCCTACAAACACAATAGTTCAACACGCTTTGAGGAAGGGCCAGGAAGAGGGAAGCATTTGGTTAATGGTGGTAGAGGTCTGGGTGGTGGTAGGGGGCTTATTAATAGCAAGGCTAAGCATCAGGAACCCCCTGTTGGCCGACATCTGTCCCTTTCATCGTCCTCATACTCCTCCAGTTCTGCTAGCAGTGAGAGCCTTGGTGAAGGTGAAGAAAAGGCCGTCAAAGTGGCAGGAGGAGCAGCAGCAAGTACTCCTGCAAAAGATGCTGAGCAAGGACCCTTGCAGCAAAGGCAAGGGTCTGGAAGGGTAAAGCAAGGACATCCTGGTCAGAGGGTCAGGCCTCTTAGCCTGTTTGTGGATGTCTCTAAAGCCAACACTTTACCCAGAGTCCGTGAGACACCCCTTCCTCCTGAGCCTAAGAGCCCTGGGGAGTATGTCAGTATTGAGTTCAAGGGTGAGAGGAATTACTTTTCTCTACCCCGCTCCTACAAACACAATAGTTCAACACGCTTTGAGGAAGGGCCAGGAAGAGGGAAGCATTTGGTTAATGGTGGTCGAGGTCTGGGGGGAGGTAGGGGGCTTGATAATAGCAAGTCCAAGCATCAGGAACCCCCCGTTGGTCGACATCTGTCCCTTTCATCGTCTTCCTACTCCTCCAGTTCTGCTAGCAGTGAGAGCCTTGGTGAAGGTGAAGAAAAGGCCGTCAAAGTGGCAGGAGGAGCAGCAGCAAGTACTCCTGCAAAAGATGCTGAGCAAGGACCCTTGCAGCAAAGGCAAGGGTCTGGAAGGGTAAAGCAAGGACATCCTGGTCAGAGGGTCAGGCCTCTTAGCCTGTTTGTGGATGTCTCTAAAGCCAACACTTTACCCAGAGTCCGTGAGACACCCCTTCCTCCTGAGCCTAAGAGCCCTGGGGAGTATGTCAGTATTGAGTTCAAGGGTGAGAGGAACCTGAAAGCAGGAGGTAATGGAACCAGAGGATTTCGGCACGATGCTTCTCTTCCACCCAGTACCCACCGCAACTTACCCAGGCCTACCTCTTGTGTCGCTGGGTTCTTGCCTTTCTCGCATAGCTCCTCCAGCCCCACCCCTCCATCAACTGCCTCTGAGTATGTCAATATGGAGCTAGGAGTTTCCCCGTCCCCCTCGCCTATCTCCCTCACATCACTTGGATTTCCCCCATTCCCCACTCCTCCTGTCACGCCTGCAGCAGCCCCTAAAGCTCATGATGAGCACAGATCTGCAGTTCTAAATGATGATGATGCAGAGAGTGAGATGGGACATAGAAAAAGCAGGCAGGTATCAGAGCCACAGCCAGGAGACTCACCCACAGCATGTGGAGACTACACAAAGATGGCCTTTAGCCTGAACTCAGGCAGCACCTTAAGTTCTACATCACTAAAAGCCTCTTTGCCAGACCAGCCTGAGTCAGTAGTTCCAGCCCTGGGTTTGGGACTAGGACTAGACTTTCCACTTGCCAAAGTCCCAAATCCAGATCACGGGGCTAAAGTAATTCGAGCGGATCCTCAAGGTCGTCGACGCCACTGCTCTGAAACGTTCCAAGCTCCTTCCTCACTTCTTTCTTGCTCTGCAACATCTTCTTCTGCATTCCCTGATCACACCCAAGTGGCCCGTCGACTTGGTTTTGAGGGTACGCTTTGGGGGAACAGTGGCTCAGCGGACATCTCATCTCAGTACATCAACTCTGGACTACCCAGTCTATCTGTTTCACAGACATCCTCCATGGAACAGGGCCTCAATTACATAGACTTGGACCTGGCTAACAAGGAAAGCTCCCACACTGCCACAGATGGGCAAGCAGCTGTCCACACACCTGTCGCTCATATCTTTTCCTCTGTGCTGGGTGGGGGAGCAGCAGGAGGTTCTGTAGGAACTGGAGGCTCAGGCGGTAGTGCTTCAAACCTCAACATGTACGCTAGCATTGACTTCTATAAGTCAGAGGAGCTGCGGACACACCAAGGTAGCAGCAGCAGCAAAGAAGGTACAGGTAAGATCAGCTTGAATCTCAAAATGAGTTTAGTCTAAAAAGTATGAAATCCTAAATCTCACATACAGTCTAAGGTTTATTCATATCATATTCATTCATATCAGCACACTGAACAGATTTGTCATACAATTGAGTGCATAAGTTTGCATACTGCTTTTGCCTCCTTAGTTTATAAATCACTCGCAGAAGAAATAGCAGTCTTGTTTTTTATTTAGTAATGCTCTTCCAAATTTTTCACAGGATATTTCCCACAAGACAAACAAAACAAAATAATAACATTTACACACTCTTCCTGTTTAAAAGTTCACACCTCTTTGGTTTTAAGTATACTTTTCACAAAACATACAGTCATTGATCACTGCAAAAGTTGAACTGATAAGATGTAGGCTATACCTTGAATGCAGTGTAAGTTAAATGGCTTGAACACTGAGGTCTGTAATCAATCAAAAAATGAATTTTTATGATCCCTCTTATTTTTAATAAATGAAAAACATCTTGCAGATTCTGCAAGGAGCATGCAAACTTATATGCACAACTGTAATATATTAGCACACCTTTAACACACGTATTAGAGTGACAGAATCATGTGTCTGATTTCCTGTGTGGCTGTATTTACACTGTTTTTATCTTTAATTCCACTTTAGTCAATAACAGATTCTGATGATTCACTTGAAACAGAGTACAGCTTGTTCCATAACAAAACTTTATGAGGCCATGATTCACTTTTGTTCTTTATTCATATCCACCTGGTGCCTCTAGATACAGGAGCCACCTGTCTGCCAGGCATTACAATGCCAACAATACTGATCAGAGAGCCATGGAAAGTTCCCTTTCGCAAATCTCATAACCATTGGTTTTGTCTGCCGCCTCTGTCATTCCCTGGGCTCCGAAATTTGATTTACCATTTTAAATGTATTTTAGAAATTTCCAGTATTTATCTTTGAGCTGAAACATTAAAGTGTCCTCGATAGTTATGTATATAGAAGGGTTACAATGACAGGGTATATGGCTAAATACAGTCTTTTCATTCTGTTTGAGTTACCGTCTTTTTGAGTTCCCTCTATGTGCTTAAAATGCATGTATGGGTTTGTGGCTAGATTGGGGTTTGCCATTCAGTGACAGGATGTTTGCATAAATTGTCTTTTTTTACAAATAGTGACAGAGCAGGCTAACCGCATATGTCTGAAGCTCCGTGTTCAGTTTATGTTATGCAAGAAAACAGTGACTCTTGTGGAATAAAAGAAAGCTTGCAATGGTTGTTTGTAGAAATCTCTGATCTGACTATCGCTCTTTTATTTTCTTGCTAAAACAGCCCGGATTTGGTGCCTGATCTTAAATCAAATGATAAGATTATCACAGAATGTAAAGTTGGATTGAAAACTAGAGAATGAAGAGAGAAAGATACTGGCTTATTTTTGCCCCAGTGAGTAAGTCTTTTGCAGTTATTGGACAGCATGGCATCGGCGCTGGGGGGGAATGCGGCGAGCTGGCTGTGAATGTTGAGGAGGGGCCAACGTTGCGCTGGCTCAACGTGGTCACAACCGCAACCCCCCCTTTTCTGCATGTAATAAATGATCCTTTTGTTCGTGGATTTCCTCCCTGGCTGCCGTGTATGTGTGTGTGTTTGTGTGTCTGTGCCCTTGCGTGTGTGTTTCAGCTCCAGTAGGCTTGAACTCATCGCTCCCTTGCTCAGTTTTTTTCCCTTGCATTTTAATAAAATGTTTCTGTCCGAGTAGAGTAAGAGAGCACAAACAAAAATAGATTTTTTGGGAGAGAATGTAGTATGGGAAGTCCCCCCCCCCTTCCCCTTCAATCTGAGAAAGGATTAAAGCAATTGAGAGGAGCAGGGAGAGATAGTACAAGGGTGAGAAAGAGATGGCACAATGGGAGTGAAAGAGAGAAAGTGAAAGACAGACAGACAGTGTGCGAATGGCAGATAGAGAAAAGATGGAAAGAAAGTCAGAAGCTCAGAGTCGGATCAGGTTTTCATGTTTGGTGGGAGTTGAGGAAATCGGATGAACATTTCAGGGTTAATTTGTTTGGATTTTCAGTGCATTTGGGGGGAACAACTATGAAAGCAGTTTCCCTGGCTGGACTCCAGATTGGGTCTCACTGGCCACATCCAAACTCCCACTAGCAGTCAAGATAAAGAAAATAGAGAATGAGATGAATTAGAGGTTGCGATATGGAAGGAAAGTGGTGGGAGAAAGTTGAGGGTGAAAGGAATGGCAGAAGAATGCCTGAGAACTATAATATCTCTGAGTTGGGATGGTATATAGAAGAGTCTTTTTTCTAGTAGATGCATGAGAGGGAACGTAACCTCCTATCAGCAAGGCAGCCGCTTAATAAATGCAGCTTAAGGTCTCTCAAACACACACCTACATGCCCGTGCACACACTGAGACTATTTGAAGTTCTGGCAGGACTCTGTTTCTTGCTGTGTGGTAGTGCCACGTGTATCTCAGTCTGCCGTAGAGAGCAGTGGATTTAGACCAGCGCAGCTACTGGCACCTAGGGAGGTGAATTCCTCTACTGTGCCAGTGTGTTAACAAGAGAGAGTGAGAAAGATCATTCATCCATATCATAACCACAAGACAACATTTACCTAAATGGGTGAAGTGAAGCTGAGGTAATTTTTGAATCTCTTAATCCCACACATAAATACCCATAACCACATAATACAACACAGAGACACTTCAGGAGTTTTGTAACGGTCCCCTACACTGATATTGTTGGGTAATAATGGCTTTTTTTAACTACTCATGGGGGTTTTGCTTAACTGGATCATAGTTTATATTTCCACCACAGTCTGCACTCATTTGCACACATTCGGACACACATCCATTTATTAAAAGAATGTCATCCGTTGTGCACTCATGCACCCTAAAACCTATGCATACTTGTAAATGCTACTCTTGGACTTCATTTATGCTTTGCATTGACAAAGTGCGTGCACACCCAACCACATCTGGCTACACTGATTTTGAGAGGCCCGAATATTTAAAGCAGTTTTATGAGTTTAGTACAAGTTATATCAACAGCTACTGTGGTATAATGTTGATTAACACAAACTATTTTCAACCTGTCCCTCATTATTTATTTATTTATTCATTCAATGCAAAAAATGGTGAGACGCTTAAAGTGGCAGTAAGGAGGGCAATTTGCAAATGTTAAAGTACTCACCTTTTAAAGAGTACAACAAAACGTAAACAATAAATGTTAACATGATGTTTTTATTGTGAAGAAAACATTTATTTGTGAAGTTATTTCCAACACACAACAACATCCAATATTGTTATCATGACGTAATTCCTAAAATCATAAAACAACTTTATAGCCCAAAAAATACACTATCCTTATTCTAATGAAATAATTAATGTAAGTGCGTTTATAAAATTATAAGCGTCACATTTCTGCTTTAAATCTTTTTAAATTGTCACTGTTAACATCCATATACCTAACTAACTTTTCTTATTTTGATTTGTCGGAAACAGTTGTACTGATTCATATTTATGTAGAAACCGTGATATTTTCAGAATTCTTTGATGAAGAGCAAGTTCAGTAGCAGCGTATATTCAAAAAAAGTCTTATGTAAAATTTAAAAAATCGTATATTGACATTTTAAATCAGTTTAATGCATTCTTGCTGAATAAAAGTATTAATTAATTTTTTTTTAAATCTTACTGGTCCCACACTTTTGAAGGATAGTGTATATATTTTCAGCAAAATGCCACTAATGCTGTCAATTAATCTTAACTTCTGTTGAACCCAGAATACTCCTTTAAATAACCTGTAATCCCACTTTATCACACACTGATTCTTAACACTACACACCAGACACTGATCCAGAAATCTGCCTATGTTTTTTTTACTCTCAGTTCTGCATTGGTGTAACGGGGCGACTGAGACATGAGGCTCAGTCCATTTGCAAAGCTTTATTCACATACATGGTCAGAAACAGGCAGGGTAACACCAGTAAACAGGTATGGCACAGGCGAGACAAAAGAGTAATCCAAGGACAGACGTGAACAGCCTCCGGCGTACAATATCCAACAGGGCAAGGCAAACGGGTAATCCAACAGACAGATGATAATCCAGGCGAGGTAAAAACAGAGTCCAAACAACAAGACGGGAGAGAAAACCAAGACAGGCAGAAGATCAGGAAACAGGCAACACGACGTGACTAGACTTAGAATAGAACTAGAAACTAGGACAGGGAACTGGCTCCGTAAAGTGCTACCACTAGGAGAGCGATAAACGCAAACAATACTCGGCGATTAGAGAAGGATTTGAGTGGTTGTTATATAGTGTGTGTGTGATTGGCTGCAGGTGAGTCCAATCAGTGCAATGGAGCATGGGAAATGTAGTCCAGGGTGACATGCAACAGTTTGTGTGGTGTGAGAGTCAATGTAATCGGAAGGCGACCTCTGGTGGCGAGCAGATGGAAGACCACGGACCGGATTCGTGACAATTGGAAACTGTCAATGATACTTCAGCTAAATGTATAAATCCATGGAATGGCCAAAAACAGCTGTGTTTTTGAAACAGACTCACTCAATTCTTACTCACTCAAAACATTACCAGTATGTTTATCACTGTCAACATTTTGCAAGTTTATTTATAGCATCCTTTACAGATGAACTGTGTACCTACTACATATATATGATAATCTGATAAAGTTTTTTTTATTTTTACTGATAGCTGTCATAAAATTGAGTCAGTAAAGTCTGAGTCAGAGCTCCAGAAGCCTAGTAGTCCTGAAGGACCCAATCTGGTTGTAGCTGGTTTGATAGCGGTCAGCCGGTATACATGACAGAAAGAGAGATGGAAAGAAAGATACAGCGAGAGACAGAGAGAGATTAAAGTTGACAGTAGGTAATCTGTGGTTATTTATGCACGTCCACGGGGCGGAGTAATGTATGGTCCCATAGGAATCCATGTCCCAACAAACCCTGTGGAGCTGGAGAGTGGACAAGCGAATGTGCCAGCAGATCTCTTTTG